AGCACAGTTGTTTAATACATAATTACATAATCAAATATGTGAGTCATGAAAACTTCCCGTTTGGATATGAAATTCAACATTGTCTTATGCCTTTTTGTTTGAAGCATTTAAAATTTTCTTCTGTCAAAAGATCAATTAATGCAATTTCACATACATGAAATTTCAAGAAAATATTTCTCCGTGTAAATATATTTTCCTTCCCCCATTGCCTTGTAGGAATCTATGAGATGTAACATTTGCGTATAAATGGCAATTTATTGGAGGGGAGATATAATCGAGTTTTCCTATGAAATTTAGACTATAAATAAGGCTATACATTTGCTTGAAAATGCATATTATGAAATGATATTAAAAACTTGAAAATGTCACTAAAACTCCTCTCATTTATGTTCAAAACTGACAGCTAAAATATTCTGGTGATCATTTTAAATAACAAATTCATTCGGCGTTTACGAGTGTTTCAAATCGCATTATGTTTGTAACAATGCCATGGTACTAAACTCAATGTAAATTAAATGAATATCCGTAGATTTAACGTCCTTTCTGTCAGAGATACTATGTAAATATACATTTGAGTATATTATATTTTCGATGCTATCATTTGATCTCTTATTTTCAAATACATGATTTATAGCGTATTTGCTGTGACATTTGTGTTGATATCCCAATATGCGTAACTGATATATAAATATTAGCTTTTTTACAATAAATATTTCTTTCTTCTTTGGATGAAAAATGTCATCAACACCCCCCTTCCAAGTATTTTTTGACTATTGTTGAAATAATTAAAATGCTTCAATATTCTTAACGGACGCTTGATGCTTTACACCATTCTTTACTTGTTTATGTATGATCTTAACTACCATGCAAAACATGTTGATAAAAAAAATTACCTACAACACTGTTGTGCTAATTGAAAAGGGATACTGAAAATAATTGCTCATAATATTTCTGCTATATAATGATAATTAAAATTCAAGAGTCTAAGAAAGAAAATGCAACATTAATCTCAAGTATTTATAAATCTTCATGAAGGTATACAGCATTGTTTTATTCTGTTTTTATTTAGTCTTCTTTAAGAATCGGCAACACACCCGAGGCACATCTTTACATAAACTATTTCTTCCTAGTTTCCTACTACTACAAGTATTACAATGTTTGCTATAACTATCCATTGCTAAGAACATAATTAAGGTTTTATCATTTTTCGCAATATCCTGCACACTACACACACAATTTTAAATCACACTATTTCGTGAAATAAGCTTTACTATTTGAATGCATTCGCTGCAAACACAGCCATCACTTGCCCTACATGTATGTATAGCCACAAACTGCCTTTCCTCTCGAATTATTTAAATATTTTACCCGTATGATACAAGTACAGAGTACGAACAACACAAGTATAGACATGGAAAAAGATCATAAATGCCATAAATGCATTCTAGTCTGTTACTAATTGATACTGAGATGTGAAAATCAACTTCACTGATAACTCTCAGCATGGTGCAAGGAGTTAATAGGAAGGCTTGTTTTAATTACACTGCCTAAAATAAAAGTCTAGAATAAAAAACATAATATACATGTAGTTTATATGGATATAAGTTATATAGAACGAACCATATTATGTAAGTAGCTAGTACATTGTAAATCAATTTTGCGAATTTTTTTACTGAATAAATTACTTCCAGGTTAAGATTTAAAATCTTTGTAAATCCCATCTGAGTTTTAAATTATGTACTTATTCAATCACTAAATAACATGTACATGATAAATAATATACCGTTTTTTAATGAAGTATTTGCGCTATAGATGCAGCAGTTAGCTGCATGGTACAAAAGTAATGTGTGCCGACACGATTAGATGAACTACAATGTAAAGAGAAGAGCAAGATAAGTTGAATCGCTATTATCTACTAATTGTGGAATATCCCTTTACCTTACTAATTGCTTCCTATTATTAGAATTGCACGTAACGCAGCATTACAATAAAATAGCAGAAAGAAGGTCGGGGATTTCCCGTTGCATATTTTTAGAAAACAAGTGGAGTTATCTGACTTGCTTAGTGGCGCTTGATCGCGAACGGAAGTAGATTTACGCTGACAGAAAGCGCTTAGCGCTTAAAAAAGAGATTTATTTATTATGTTTTGAACCATTGCTTAACATGAACATCCAAAATAAGATCCAGTAAATAAAAATGAAATCATACCATCCTCAGCACGCTAATTTATGGGGAAAAGTAATTATAAAAGAAGCTAAAAAAACTTCAGTTATTGTGATGTTATTCTTTCTTTTTTTTATAAAAAGGGAAAAATTAAATAAGTCTTACTGTTATTAACTGGTCTCGATCCCAGACCTCAATATTATTGATTCTGTGCATTACCGACTGAGCTAGTCGACACTTATATTCGAACACGCGAATTGTTGACAACAGCCATTTCTGTTGATTATCAATGGCTACTTCTACTGGTCGATGTTATTTGTTATTAGTTATATAGTTACTTTATTTGAAAACTTACAAATTAATAGTGACAAACATATGACGAGAGAGAGAGAGAATGCACCAAATATAAATACAGTAACTATTCTGATTTTAGACCACTCATTACAATATTAGCTCCACCTCTTATGCATATTTATAAATCTTATCTTCAATCAAGGGCAGATAAGTCTAATTTCCAGATATTTGCAGAGAGGTGGGGTAAGAATACAACGAATTATTTTATTGCAACGCAGTTTATAACCATTATGACATTTCATTTCATTTGGAAATAGATCAAACTCTATAAAAAAAGGACTGAAGGCAAAAATAAATTCAAAAATAAATGTGACAACAGAGATTGAAAAAGACCCAAAAACCGGCGTTAAGTGCAGTCATCCTTTTTACCTGCTCCGCGATCCGATTTTTGCAATTTTAAAATCTGGATAGGTTTTGAATAAATGGTAATATGTTGAAAAATTAATACAAATCATTTGGATTAATTGTTAAAATATTTCGACCAAATTTGGATAACATATGACGTCAAAATATATGAAAGATTGGACAGATGTCCACGAACTTTTCAAACAACACTTGTACAAGCTATTCTACACTTGCTGGCCAGGTGAAATGCCTTCAGAAAAATAATTCAAAACAAATATCATTGATAAAGCATAATTTGCAAAGAAAATTGGTAAATTGGCACAAATCCTTTAATTTAAGTAGTTATTGAATCTGGATATGAAATTCCTTTTGTTTCAAATCCTCCTTCTATTTCCCAGGTAGCACAAAACTTCACAAATTCATTTAGATGAAAAGTTCTGAAATTTTAAGGACCCCCCTCCATTCTTTTCTGCAGTGCTTGAAAAATAAACAGGTTATGTCTGTATAATATATAATTTGCATATTGAATTTTTAAAGAAATAAGTAATTCATGTGTATAGACTATTAAATATCCTCGCTGAAAAACAAACTGAGACTGTTTACAATGGCAAATTTTGTCGGGGGGGGGGGGGGGTTGCAACAGTTGTATTAATTTTAGTAAATAATTTTTCATTTTTGATACTTACTTTAATTTTTATAAAATTTGGCTTTCATTTCTTTTGTTACTTGGAACTGCCTATTTGGAGAGAGAGAAAAAAAGCATAATTTTTCAGAAAAACAGGAAAAAATAACTCAGCCAATGGGAGGAAAGACATCATCTCCTACTTTTTTAGTATGTTTTCTCTTTAAGCAGTGACCATTAATTAATGACCATTAAAATTACTCTTTTTGTTTGTTTTTTCAAACAAAACTAAAGCAAGAAAATGTTTATTTTCGTAAAAAGATAATATTAAAACGTACCAATAAAATTTATTCTCAATATTTTGTGGCCGATCTTAACAGGTAAAAATGATGTAGAGTAGCATTAACATTTCAATATTAAAAAAAGATGTTTTGTATCCATCAAAAATAGATATTTAGGTATTAATTCACTAAATTTGAATTAAAGAAATTTTAGGAATATGTCTTCTTTCAGTTTTTTTTGAGAGGAGAGATTTAGAAATGATCAACGATAGCAATGGTTCTTCAAAAGATGCAAAAATCGAAACGTCTGTTCTTTTTTCATTAATTACCATCGAAATCGTCTTGTTCGTTGTCATTTTGACGCTTCATAATTTACGTCAAATTTAACGTTATGTCAAACGTTTCATTGAAATTGCAAGAGTAATCTCCCCAAATACGTTATACATCTTTAACTCTTTAACTACTGCATGTAAATAAGTATCGAAATAATTTCTTTAGGAATGAGAAATCTAAACAATTCATTTTAATCTATACTTGCTATACAGAGTTTGTGTATTTTTAAGGAATGTTTATATCTAAATTGATAAAATATATACATGTATGTGTAAGAGCTACAATACTAGATAACATTTAAATCTATTTAAGCATACTAAATAAGGATTTGTTACTTTTGTATATTGTTATACCTGATATAAATCTGTCTGCTTTTTATTTTGTGTCATGCCACAAACAGGTTGATTAATGTAAAATTTGTTTTAAGACAAAGTGGGAATTTGGAGTAAAGTATAAAGCTAATCAAATTGATTGAGGTGTGTCCTTATCATTTTTTATAAATATAAATGAACTAAAATTAATTGTTATCAAAATGCGTCCATCTGTTGATATTGTCTTAATTTGTATTGTTTGTCGTATGTTGTTATTATTCTAGGGTTGATCCTAGCGACACTAATAAGTACAAAAATTTTAATGTTATAGTAAAGATTTAGATCCATACCCAAAACCGTCTTGTTGTTTAACAAAAACCATTAAAACTAGGTCACACCTTTACAAAATTCCATGGTAAGCAAATAAAACAGCATAGATTCATATTTCTTTCTTCATTAACCTTCATTTTTCTTTCAATCAATTAATAATTTTTCTTTCTACATATACCTCTGTCAGAATCTAATCGAATTTTAATAACCAAAACCATTTTTCGACATCTTTAATACAATTGCATAAAATGAAAGTAGATGTAATGGGGGTTTCTGTACTATTTATAAATTATGAAACTATTCATACCTGTAAAAATGGACTCCATTAGAAGCCCAGAAATGTAAGGTTTAATGACAGTTATACATGCTCTAAAATGTCATTTTTGAATAAAGGTTTGGTGAATTTTTGCTTTGCAATTTTATACTGTGTGAATTATTTATCAGTACGTTCAAAAAATTGCATGCGTATATCACAAGAAAAATGAGTAAATTAAAAAAAAATGATAATAATAACTAGCTTAAAATTTAACAATGTATTTTATAATTTTTTTGTATTCATATGAAGCAAAATTTGTGCAAAATATTATGTGCGAAAAGAAAAAAACACATACTGTGGCCTTCAACATTTAGATATATCGACGACGTATTGTCAATCAACAATGGTAATTTCCATTTCTATATCGATACAATATATCCCGGTGAGCCTGAGATAAAAGATACCACAGAGTTCTGAAACATCTGTTTCATAATCATTTGGATATTTTACTTGAAAAAGACGTTAATGGTACTCTAACAACCAGGCTATATGATAAACGTGATAACTTTAACTTTTCTATCGTCAACTTCCCTCAATTATGAAGCAATATACCTTCATCACCTGCATACGGAGTTTATATCTTAGTTGATTCGATACGCAAGAGCTTGCTCTACATATAAACGACTTCTAAAAACGAAGTGAAGTATTGCCAAACAAGTTGATGAAACAAGAGTATCAGTAGTCTCGTTTAAAGTCATCATTGATATAATAAAGTTGTCAGCAAACACAATTTATCATTGTATCAAATGCTGACTGACGTTTTTCATACTAATTGTCACACCTGTTGTCATTGGGAAATAATGGGAATGCTATCGTCAGTTCAGTGTATAAATAATGGACTTCTGCAAGGGATGCTCACTCCTCCATGGCACCTGATCCCACCTCTGATGTTTTGGAAGTCCGTGTTTGTTCTGCTCCTATTTTGTTTTGTTTTATGTACTTAGATGTTAAATACTAATCGTTATATCCACATCTTCATTGAATACTGTTCGTTATCTTCTTATCATTTATCATTCAAATATAAGAATTTGCTACCATCATGATGATCACTAGCAATTAATCATTGACTTAAGAGACATTCTATATAATATAGATTAAATTTGTCTTTAATTGTCAGTAAGATGGCCACAGCACGAATATCAGAGTCAGTGTTTGTGCGACTGTGTCATATATTTGGGACCTCAAAACTTGTGGCCATGAGGAGAGATACGATGGACATCAGTGATATAGTGAGAAATCAAGTAAGAAGAAGTGATGAAATCAGTTTGATGGTGAGTGGAAGTTATAAAGAAGGATTCAGATTAGTAACAACAGATATAGACGTTATGACCTGGCTAAACAATCACCGTGTGGTCTGGGAATTATCGCAGTCGAAGTATTACAATACAAACAGACAAACATTGATCCTTTGTGACTGTTCTGATTGTCCACCAGGATTTACTTTGTTATATATACTTTCGTCAGGAATGGACAAAATTCTGCAGGAAGCCTGTGTAAGAATGAATAACAGACATTATATATCTAGTTCTATATACAGACATGTCATGTGTTCTGCATTATTACCAAATTCCTTTCCACATGGACCCTGTGCCAGTGGAATTGTTGGAAAAACAGAATATGATTCTGCTTACTGTTTTGCTAGTGACTTTTGGCCTCCATCTGCCTCCTCGTGGATAGACAGATGTCATTCATGGCCCAAGCCTCATATCGTTGAAGATATAGTAAAAAATGGATGTCATTTTGTAGCAATTGGCCCTAAGCTAGGAATACATGATAACAATGAATGGAGAATTTCTTTCTCTAGAGCAGAATATAAACTAGTCTGCGCAATGACTCACTGTCAATTCTTAACATACGGCTTACTTAAATTGTTTTTAAAAGAAATAATTAATAGTGGAGTAGGTGGGGATACTATACTACTGTGTTCCTATTACATGAAGACAGCAATTTTTTGGGTGATTCAACAAAATACATTACAACATTGGTGTCCACAAAATCTCCTGGAGTGTTTTTGGGTCTGTTTTAAACTCATCCTCAAATGGGTGTATGAGGGGGTCTGTCCTAACTTTTTCATTCCAGATAACAACATGTTTCTTGGTAGAGTTCATGGTGAAGCACAACAGAAAATATTTTTTAGACTATATGACTTTTATGAGAAGGGGTTTTCAATCCTGCTACAGAGCCCCTCTATTAGATCTTGTCTTATATATATCCTCCATAACCCAAGAATCTCCATTTGTACAAATGAACACACTCTGCTTTCTGAGGCTGAGTTTGATGCAAACCTATTTAGTGAAATGCAACACCTTGACATTGCAAACAATGTTGACATACAAAGCTGCATGATGTCTCTACATACAATAGAACAGATGATAGGTTTACTTTCCATTACACACTATCAAATCCTGGTGCTACAACAACGTACAGCCGAAATCCTTCAAAAAACAGCTTTTATATTACACATGGAAACTTACACACTTAAAAACAAATTGAAATATAGATCTGACAAAATGTCCTGTCAAATGCTGAAACTATCAGCCAAGTTCGGTTTTATTTCAGACATGCTGTACATAGCCATGTATTATTACAAGACACTTAGATACAAAGAGGCTTTATCTATTATAGAGATGATCAAGGACAAATTAGCAAAACCATATGTGATGTGTATGAATTATGTAGATAGAGAAAAGTATACTGAGGCTGTAGGAGGACAGTCTTGGTTTACAAAGATGAGACAGGCTGTAGCATGGAATATCAGACTTAACCATGAAATCCATTACATCGATGAACTGATACCAGAACAACAGTTTGCTTTACAGAACAATAGATATACGTTACTTGTTCCTCCATCTATACTGTTAGACATAATAGAGAACTTGTGCCACAGACATGTAGACACAGTGAGGGCGCAAACAGCTCTAGATGATCTACAGACCCTAATCACTATGATCAGAGACAAATTATAGATTTACCTTTCAGAGATATCGACAGATTCTGGGGATCTGTCAACACTTGACAGGGAATCTCCAGACTACACTATACTTATATCAACAATCTCTCAGACAAGACCCATTCCACAACATACTGAGAGCTGCAGAAATAAGAATACACGAGATGTGTAGATGAAATCAGTACTTTGGCTAAATGTTTTTCATTAGATTTTGATTTGTTTCCATTTCATTTCTCATAAGATATTGTTTAGTTTATGATTTTATCAAAAGCTTTGCATGAACTACTCCTCAAGGTGGACATGTAAAAAAAATATAGAAACAAAACGTTTTGCATATATAGGATTTAAAACGGACATTTCAATAAAAACACTTTAAACTAGGACTATCATATAAAATTCATTTTATGAATTACATGAAATAGAGAACTTAATAGTGGTAGTAAAATAAAATAAAAGTTTATTTAACAAGGATGTACAATAACTCCATAATCGCAAAAAGAGATTATATTTTCATGGACAATAAATATCTTGTTTGAACAAATTGGATTTTGTTGTTGGTTTATTGAACTATAATTTTGTAAGTCAATTTTTACTGGAATTGATCAGAATATACCAATCACGTCAATTGATACCAAGTAATAAAATTTCAATGGAAATGCAAAGTTACTATTAGGATTTATGACCAAGATATAAAATATAGAAATAACGAACAGTATTCAAGGTCAAAAGTCCACAAACAAACAAAATAGGAGCAGATCAAATATGGGCCCCCAAAACATCAGAGGTGGAATCAGGTACCATGGGGTAGTGAGCATTCCCTTCCGACCGGTCACATGCGCCATGTGCTCCTTGTCGTGAAAATCCATCGTCAATTCAGTCATTAAATAATGGACTATTGATTAGTATATAAAACGTCAGTCAGCATATGACTCAATGAAAAATTGTTTCTGCTGACAAGGTCATTGTATTGACAATAAAACTTATGAAATGATGACTTTAAACGAGACTGCTGATATTCTTGTTTCATCAACAACTCTTTTAGTTACTGTATAAGTGGAAATTTTAGCAAGACTCAAATTTGGCGATTTGTCCTCAAAAACTGGTAATTTATTTTTAGCGAGATGTTATTTTATCGATTTTAGACGGCATATTAAAGAAGCTTTTACAAGTAAAACGCAGTAATTTTTAACGATATTCAATTTAAGCGATCTCGACGACCTCGCTAATAATGCCAAAATTGAATTCTCGCTAAAAATTCTACTTATACGGTATCTGTTTTATAGTTCTTAGTTTTATTACTCTTTGTCAACTATAGTCAACTTCCCTTACTTATACAGCAATATATTTTCATCACTTGCATACGGAGTATATATATCTCAGTTGATACGATACACAAGAGCATGCTCTATGTATGAACAATTTCTTAAACGAGGTAAATTATTGACAAGCAAGTTGATGAAACAATAATAGCAGCAGTCTCGTTTAAAGTCATCATTTCGTAAGTTCTATGGCCGATACAATGACCTTGTCAGCAAATACAAGTTACCATTGAATCAAATGCTGACAGACGTTGTTCATACTAATTGTTATTCCATTATTTAAACACTGATTTGACGACAGATTTTTCCGTTATTTCTCGATCATGACAAGAAGCACACGGCAGATGTTATCTCAAAAATATAAAAATTTCCCCATCAAACACATCTATATGTCGTTATATGCAAGCAAATTGTATTTTTTTCTCACGTTTTAAAAATGGCCTTATACGATTTAATAAAAATACACAAGGTAAGAAACAAAAGTAGTAAACAAACGGGGGACCCCTGCTTCGAGACAGATTACCAAGGTAATAATTAGTGTTACCTATCATAATTTTGCAAGCACTCTGTCTGGGAGATGTTCTTTTAAGTCTCTTTAACATAAAACCCGCTATTAGCATTTGATATGCCGTAATCGGACGATTAATTAAGCGCATGTATTTGATATACATTCATTTGAAAATGTTGCATTGTTCTGCTTTATAAAACTGTAGTTTCATAAAGAAGTCTGAAAATGTTGATAATTTGCAAACGGTAGAGACGTTTATTAAACCTAACTTTGAAATTTGATTTACTTACATATTGTTTTCTCGATTGACTTCAGTTGCTTTCTTCTTCTCGACTTTGCATTTAAAGTCAAGCGTGTCCTCAAATCTGATATGTAGATCAAAATTTCAAATTCTTTTTCCAAAAACGAATTTGAGGATGCGAAATGATTGTCGTAACGGTATGGAAATGATAGAGAAGACACATAAATATGCTGTAAAATTTTTATAATATCAAACATATTTTGATAATTAGAACAAAGAAAATCATGATGAAGACACATACTTGGTATTTTAATTGTTAAAAACACGGATATTTTTGAAACTCTTATTCAAAATAAGCATAAAAATATTGAAAGTCCACGTGTGGACAAATTACCGCTACGAATATTGATATGAAATTTAATTAATTAGGTCATAAATTTTATTTACAGTACATCTTTATATTTCACTTAGGTGGGTTACAGTTAATATTTTTCTTAATTTCAGTTTATTTAAATTTTTTGTTAAATATTAGCATTTATTTAAGAACGGACCTCGGACAAGAAATGCCCTATATTCAGAGAATGACCCATATGAACCTCTAATAACTCGAACTCTCGACCTACGGTATATTCGAGTTGTGAATCAGTTTAAAATCACTTTGTCTGTAATATATTATTTTGTTGAGCACAATATCGTGTTACAGTACATAACTTTTTTGACACGCAAGCCACTGTCATTAGCACATGTGCAACGTCAAAAATACCAAATGACCAAAAATTAAATTCCGCGAAAAAAGGGGGCTTTTACAATAATTTATTCAAAATTTTAATGTGTCAACACTCGAGTACCTTTTTCAAATGTTGCAGACAGAAAAATATTACATATATGCATCTTTATACATAATACCTTAGAGTTACTCGTGTGTGGCCAATTTGCTCAAAAGTGTGAAAAATTGGCTTTTTCCTATATAATCCTGTAGTAAATGTCTTGAGGTGGTCACTTCAAAGTATATGGACGGTAGATTTTCCCCAAACATGGCATGTACACTGAATTGACTGAAATATATGTAATTTATATATGATATGAAGATAAAGAGTTTCTTTATTATAGAACGCCAGTCTGCCCCTTAAGGATAAATAACACATACTATCTTATTTCGGAAATCAGAAATATTTCTCATAAATTTACATTTTAATTTGAAGGCTTTAACAGGTCTGGACGATTTCTAAATAAGGAAGTCAAGAACAATAACCGTGAATTGCTATTAATACACAGAATAAACAAGGCACTAATCCTTCTGACCAATCAGATAACAGCATTTAGACAAACCCATGAGAGAATAAATAAAACACGTGGTTTTTAAGTGTTTTGCTCAAAAGATTTTTTTAGAACAAACTTTTTGTAAACGTTATGCGCAATTGGGAATAATATAATATTTATGACAATTCTACCGTGAACAAACACGACTTGAAAGCTTGGAATACGTTTTAAGTGGGATAAAAAAAATCTGTCTCTAATAGATAGTAATCCCAAAAGTTTACTTACGTTAAAAATTGATATAAATACGGTAAATTTTCAGTTTTTAGAGCCTGACATAAAAATCTTATCGAAAAGATAACAGTCTTTATTATTTTTGAGTGTTTATTACAGAATACTAGTAGTCCATGCAGTTTCTGATATGCGAGTCAAGATATTGGGATAAAACGCATTCATGTATAATTCTCTTTTCTCCACGTTAAACGCCTTTCCTTATGCCCATTTAAAGTCTGCATAGCTAAGTATTCGGCGCTCATGAAACCCGTGATAATGCAAAACTATATGTGTATATTCCATACGATAAACAATTGTGTGAGTTGATCTATACACATGGAATTTAAGCATTATCGATGAAAATCGGACGGCTAAGCAAAATTATATTTACCATCATATAATATATTCTGGTAAGTGTTATAAATGAACTTCATAAAAAACTTGCTGGTGCGATCTATACCTCTGTAAACGATTACATTCTATCGTGCATTATTTTTTTTTCTTTACCGAGATAAAAATGTCAAGGTTGTTCACGGTAAAAATGAGGGGAATTCCTTATTCTTCAAAAGTTTTCATCTTACTTCTACAGATTTTTTGCTAAAAAATCTTTTTGAGGAAAAAAACAAAAGCACGTGTTATCTTTTTGTTCTTTTAAAATATGTTTTGGGGTGTGTAAAAATGCTGTTGTCTGATTGGACAGAAATAAAATTACGTGTACTTGATGTACATTTATAGCAACTTTCGGTTATCGTTCTTGACTTCCATATTTAGAAATCGTCCAGACCTGTTTAATGTTTACCAAGTATAGTGGTAGAATTTTATAAGTTTTTTTCGTAAGATTAAAATTTATGTAATTTTGTTTTATAAAATTATATAGAAAGCAAAACAAAGTCTCATCTCTGCATTAAGGAAAACCTACTTCCTTATATTTCAGGGATTTATTATTTATCTCATTTCAAATCGAAATCAGTCAAAAATATCTATCAATTCATGCGTCAGGTTGTTTTGCTAAGTACCCTTTCTTCGAATTCTTATTTCCTTATCAAAATGGCAAGTTCTGATGTTTGATGATAGTTTAAAGAATAGTAGAATATGTTGCTGAAGGACTGGGGTGTTATATGACAAACACTACATTTATTTAGAAAATGGCCAGGAATATACTGAAACAAAAGTACAAGGGGCAAATCAAACTTCATTTTAGTATCAACGTGACTCAAGAATAACCAAAACGCAATCCAAGAATTGCATGTACATCAGCAATCATAATCAATTTAATCTAATTCTATTACTGTTTAACATCTGTTAAAGTTTTTGATTCTTTCAGCTAATAAATGTTTAACTTGTGATTGTCCATAAATGAGTTTCAACAGATATTTCCATCATATCAATAAGAAAAAATGATAATTTTCCCATTTTATGTCATTCCAGAGAAATGATCGAAAAAAGTAGAGAAATCGCAAAAATGCAAACATATTACCTGTAAAGCATTCATTAAAAAAAGGAATAGCTTATTTTCTAGAAACAGCATATGTAATCAAAATAAAATACAAATTCTCTTGCTGTAAAACATATCAAAATATTATGTAGTACATTTAACGAAACATGATAAAAAGAATATCCTTTAAAACTATATGAATGAAAAAATATCCAATTCCTGAAGGTCCTCATAAAAATACATGTATACACATATTGATAAGATTGCAGTGATTTCAAATTCTCCATGATTAGTTTAAATGACCTTTCCCCATATTTTGCCTGCAGATTGTCTTTGCATGTCTTTGATACCAACAGTACCCAAAGCAATATAGTTAGTAAAAGGCGAAGTACGGTTCATGCCATGGGACGTTACGCTTTTTGCACACAACCTCTATGCCGTATTCTGTTCCTGTTGTAAATGATATCCAAAATAATCAGGGGATCCAGTACATTAATTTAGTTTTTTTCAATCTTGTCTTTATTCAGCACTATTTTTTTTTTGAAACCGTCCAAGTTTTTATTTTCCAGCAGTGTCGCAAGAATAACGTGTTAGTTCTTCATTTATTTAAAACAAAAACTACTAAAGTAACTTTTTTCACTAGATTACGGCATATTTGACCCGTGTCTATAGACCATGTTATACAAATAAACCTGAATTTCTGTTCATTCCCTTTCTTTTTTTACTAGTAATTTTTTCTACATAAAGCTGTGTAAAAAGTAATTGAAAAAGTCTTTCAATTACTTACACCATTCTCAAATACTTTGAACCATACTATTTAATAAAATGAAAGTATAAGTAATGGAATTTTTATGTACTATTTATAGCACCTGAAACTATACAGTTCTACCTGAGAAAATGGACTCCGCTGGAACTTCAAAATTGTAAGTTTCTATAACAGTTATACAAGCATAATAGGCTTTATAAAAATATATATAATTGAATTACCAAGTTTGGATGATTATGTGTATGGCAATCTCACAGTTTGCAGGTGTATTGTTAGTAAGTTTAAAATCTGTATCACAAAAAATTGAGTTTAAAATAATTGATAATTATAACTAACTTTTAATTCAATAATATATCATATTAAAAAAATATAAGAAATAATTGCTTTCATCATATGATAATATCATTTTCAATTAATTGTACCATAGTTAGGTGTGATTTCTTTTGTTGAAAGTGTGGTGTTTCTGTTCTGTTCATAACCCACACTTTTCTATAACTCCACCCATCGAGTCGGGACAAAAGAACTATTTATAAAACGATCATGCACGGTTTTTAAATGAAACAATCATACGGGCTTGTTATACCAAATTTAGGAGAGTAAAAAGGAGTAAAAATTTTCAATTGTACACAGAGTTTTGTAGTAAATAACAGTTAAAAACGGCCATTAATACTTTAACTTTAGTTAAAAATGAAGAAAAAAAAACTTCAGAAATCGCTTGATTTTTTAAACATTTTTTTAGGATAGTGTAATGACCAGGGTGACGTTAGCTTAGTAGATTCCAATATATCGTTCTTTTGATAACCAACAAAGGGAACACGGAACATACTTGACGTAAAAACAAGTGTACACTACTGTACTTATATAACCTTTTCGATTGCGGATCTAGCCGATCAAAGATCTAATTTTCATTAAATTGAAATATACATAACCTCTAACAAACATTTCAATCAACGCACCACTGTGCACGGCAAAGTTTGTAACAGGTTTACAAAAATCTAAGTTAAACCAAGTTCATTATAAATTCAAATTACTAGTATGTAATTTTGACGATTTAAATTTACGAGAAAAAAAATCATTATATCAATTTAACATATATCATTGAAACCAAACTCGTTATTTTTTCAATTACATAAATCAACTTTTTAAATGGGCCTAGATATGTTTAATTTTTATGTCGCTTGCGTGGCCCAGTGGTTAAAGCGCCTGCCCTAGTCACAAAGTAAGGAGTTGAATCCCACTGTGGGACGTGGAGACCTATAAAATATAAACAGAGGTCCCATGTCGCAGAATGTGTTGACAGGAAGAAGATCCCTCACTGCTCAATGTCCTTGAGTGCCGAGTAAAGGGCAAAATTTGTAGCAAAATTTGAAAAGTATTGAGTATCACTTACCCTATCTTCCATTGACGTGGTCAGAAGGACACGAAGGAGCGTAAATTCATATAAAATCCAAATGCATCTTTGAAACCAAACACTAAATGTTTTAATCACGCGAACCAGTCCGACCGATTCCTAAGCTGACTTACATATGAATGATTTTTGAAAACTATGGTACAAGTCATTTACCCCATATCACACTGTTGATTATGTGTAGATACCCGATGGGCGTGGTCATAATGACAACTCGGGAGCTACGCTCGTGTCATTATGACCACGCCCATAGGGTATCTACACATAACCAACAGTATGATATGGGGTAACTACTACTAATTTTCTTAAGTAACATAGAATATAATAATATAAATTTAAATTGCCTTTAATTGTCAGTAAGACAGCCATACCACGCCTATCGGAGTCAGTGTTTGTAGGTCTGTGTCATATACTTGGGACCTCACAACTGGTAGCCATGAGGAGAGATATGGGGGATATCAGAGATATGGTGGAAAATCAAGTGAGAGCAAGTGATGGGATCAGTTTAATGGTGAGTGGAAGTAAAAGAGAAGGATTCAGATTGGGGGGATCAGATATAGACGTTATGACCTGGCCAAATGATCACCGTGTTATCTGGATTTCATCTCAATCTAAGTATTACAATATAAGGAGACAAAAAATGATCATCTGTGACTGTTCTGATAGTCCACCAGGATTTACATTGTTATATTTACTGTCAGTAAGCATAAACAGAGACATTCAGAGAGCTTGTGTTATAATGAACAACCGATTTTATATTTCTAGTTCTAAATACAAGCAGATCGTGTGTTCTTCATCTTCACTAAATTCCAGTGAACATGGACCCTGTGCCAGTGGAAAAGTTGGAACAACAGAATATGATTTTGCCTACTGTTTTGTTTGTGACCTTTGGCCTCCATCTGCCTCCTCATGGATAGACAGATGTCATTCATGGCCCCAGCGTCATATCGTTGATGATATATTAAAAAGTGGATGTCACTTTGTAGCAATCGGACATAAGCAAGGGAGCTGGAAAGACTATGAATGGAGAATTTCTTTCTCGCTGGCAGAGCAAAAACTAGTATTTGCAATGAACCACTGTCAATTCTTAACTTATGGCTTGCTGAAATTGTTTTTGACAGAAATAATTAACACTGATCTAAGTGATATTGATAAACTACTCTGTTCTTATCACATGAAGACAGCAGTTTTCTGGGTGATTCAACAAAACACAATACCTCACTGGTGTCCACAAAATCTCCTAGAATGTTTCTTGGTCTGCTTCAAACTTATCCTTAAATGGGTGTATGAGGGGGCCTGTCCTAATTTTTTCATTCCGTATAACAACATGTTTCTAGGTAAAGTTCATGGTGGAAAACAACATCAATTATTTATTAGACTGTATGGATTGTATGAGAAAGGTTTAGAATTCCTGCTACAAAGTCCCTCTATTAAATCTTACATTATATATGTCTTTCATACCCCCCGCCAATTCATATGTACAGACGAACACATTCTGCTTTCTGAGGTTGAGTTTGATGCAAACTTATTTAGTGAAATGCAAAACTTAGAAGTTGCGAACAAAGAGAACATGCAAAGTTGTATGAGATGTCTACATACAATAGAACAGATGATAGGATTACCTCTCCTTACTCGGTATCAAGTCCTTTTGCTACAGCAAGGTACAGTTAAAATTCTTCAAAAAATAGCTTTTATATCACACATGGAAACTTACACACATAAAAACAAACAGAGATATAAATCTGACAAAATCTCCTGTTATATGCTGAAACTAGCAGCCAAGTTTGGTTTTATTTCTGACAAGCTCTACATAGCCATGTATTATTACAAGACACTTAGATATAAGGAGGCCTCATCTATTATAGCTTGGATCAAGGTCAGTTTAGCAAAGCCATATGTGATGCATATGCATTATGTAGATAGACAAAGGTATACTGAGGCTGTAGGGGAACAGTCTTGGACTAGAAAGATGAGGCAGGCTGCAGCGTGGAATATCAGACTTAGCAATGAAATTCATTACATCGATGAACTGATCGCAGAACAACAGTTTGCTCTTGAGAGCAATAGACTTACATTACTGATTTCTCCCTCTAAATTGTTACACATGATGGAAAACCTGTGCTCTAGATATAGAGGCACAATGAGAATACAAACTGCTCTAGATGATCTACAGACCCTGGACACTATGATCAGGGACGGCTTATATATTCATAATACAAAGACATATCATGGTAGATTCTGGTAATCTGTCAACAGTAGACAGAGAACCATCACTGTATTCTTTACACATACCAACAATCTTCCAGTCCGGAACCATGCAACATATATACAGCTACACAAATGAGAATGCACGATATATGTAGATGAAATAACTATTTTAGCTAAATAAATGTCAGACATTGTAGTTTAATTAATCAACTGAAGCTTATTATCCTGTTTTTTTTTTCATTCCATTGTTTTCTGTTTGTCATGGTTGTCCTGTTCTTTTTTAATAAATAAGTATTTTTCCACTTTTTTATTCCTAAGAAAATGCTTGACCTTACATGTATATTGTGATCCTGACCTAACACCTCCGAGTCATTACTTGACTTACTGAAAAATATGCAGCTAAAACAATCCGTCTTTTCAATATGCCAATAAAGGAATTAAACTCGGTTGATAAATTAACGAGGATCGTTCAATAAATATTGCAACATGTCATCTAAAGTAGGAAAAGTATATAAATATAATACATATTTTTAGTAGTTTCACTCCCTAAAGACATTTTCTGTTACCCTTTATGCGTGTCTTAGGTCTTTGTATCCATCAACATAAATCCTAGGCATACTCATCCTTAGGGATGCCCCAAAGGCACTGATGAATATCATTTCCCATGATATATCTGACATTGTGCAATCTTCCTTTGATTGTTTTCATGTGGGAATGAAAGACCTCACAGTAGCTTCGATCGAGCTTGAAATGTCCTGTATACTTTTTTTCTTCAAAATCTTATTTATTTCTGTAAGCGTATATGCAGCTGTCTTGTCAGGCACAAGAAATATACAATAGTCACCGAATTTTGTATTTAGTTCGCAGAAAATCTGTTCACTTTTCCTTTGTGCAATTTGAAGAGGGATATGGAGAAAACGAACAGTATTCAATCTTAAAGTCCATAAAACAATACAAATTAGGAGCAGAGCAAATACGGACCTCCAAAAGGTTTGTTCCAATCTCGCCTCTACTGTAAAATCTAGCACTCCCATTTCGCCTTCGTAAGCTCTCAGTTGAAGATTTGATATATTTAGCATAAAGTGTTTTTTGTAAAATACTTGGTATTACATACCCTATTTCATTAACTGTATTTAAGAATTCCCATTAGCTGTTAAATTCAATCTAAAATTTTTATCATATAAATTTTTATATCAACCCAGTGATAATATTTACAAATACTAAAATTCCCATTTCGCCTTAGTACTTTTTAACTTTTTCTTACCTCTTACCTGATTTTCACAGTTAAGGCGAAATGGGAACACACCAGCCGAAACATCAGAGGTGGCATTAGATGCCATGGAGGAGTGAGCATCCCCTGCTGACCGGTCACACCCGCCCTGTGCTCCTTGTCATGATCGGGAAGTAGCGGGAAAATCCATCGTCATATCAGTGTATAAATAATGGACTAACAATTAGTATGAAAAACTTCAGTCAGCATTTGTCTCAATGATAAATTGTATTTGCTGACACCAAGGTCAAAGACATTTCAGAGCATTATATAAGTGTTATTAAAACTTACATTTGAAAAGTTCCGAATGTGTCCATTTTACAGGTTGGACTGAAAAGTTTCAGGTGCTATAATTTGTTCAGACAAATATCAATACATATACATTCATTTCAATAGATAATATTCAAGGTGTCGCAAAATGGTTTTAAGTGATTGAAAGCTTCATTTGTTTTTGACTAATGTGAATGAGAAAAGAATTGTTCTAATTTTAAAGGTACTTGGACACAGATGTGAAGTAAAGAATTCACTCTATAATATTACGACATATATATTTTAATAGCATTTCACACAAAAATTAATTAAAAATCTGATTTCAATTAAAAGTTTTTAAAACTTCAATTTTTTGGCGGGTTTGATTGGCATATCCTTGCACTTTAACAAATTTTAATTTTATTCTTAAAACTTAGAAAATGTTGCAATCTTGTTGTGTATAAATGAAAAATATTAATACTATAATCCAGAAAATTCAGAGTAGACATGTTCGAAAGCAAAACAAACACACAATATATTTTCAGACCGTGCAGTTGTGGTGAGCAGACATTGAGATTGAACGCACCCGGTAAATCATAAACAACAACAATAACAGAGCTCATGCCCTGTTTACAAAAAATGTATACATAAACATGAGTGTGCTCGATTTGCTAAATTCTGTACGCAACTCTTAGTTCGGAATGGCGATACTTGTGAAGGAGTTTTTCTTTCTATCATTTTTACTCTGAATAAAATTATTTTCCTGGATAAAACTTTTAATATTTCATAATAATACACAACAAGATTGCCACTTTTCCTAAGGATTAAGAATAAGGTTAAAATTTGAGAAAGTGCAAGGAGATTGAATACTGTTCATTTTCTCCATATCCTTCTTGAAAGAATTTAATTAGAGGTGTATGCATATCAAATATGAAGTCTCTATCTTTTACTTTTCAAAAGTTATGACAAAGGTTAAAGATGACAAAAGATCATACTCTGATTTCTGGGGCAGACTTTGATGTAAGCCTATTTCATGAAATTCGCGGCTATGACCCATTTCAATTGAACCTAGAGATTTGTATAAGGTATTTACATACAATAGAACAGATGATAGGTTCACTCCTCCTGACACAGTATCAAGTCTTAGTGCTACAGAGACTTACAGCTAATGTCCTTCGTCAATCTGCATTTATTTTAGACATGGAAACTTACATACATGAAAACAAACTGAGGTATAGAGCTGAAAAAATGTCCTGTCATTTGCTGAAATTAGCATCAAAGTTTGACTGTATTACTGACAATCTGTACATAGCCATGTATTTTTACAAAAAACTTAGATACATGGAAACTTTATCTATTATAGAGATGATAAAGGTCAGATTAGAACATCCATATGTGATGTTTAAGTCAAACGTAGATAAAGAGGGGTATACTGAGGCTGTAGGGGGACAGTCCTTGTCTACAAAGATGAGGCAGGCTGTAGCAGAGGAAATCACACTTGACAATGGAATCCATAAAATCAGTGAAATGGTACCAGAACAACAATCTGCTCTACAGAACCATTTTCCTGTATTATTTATCCCACCCTATATACTGTTATACATGCTAGAGATCTTGTGCTACAGAAATGTAGACGCAATGAGAGTACAAACAGCTCTACATGATCTGCAGACCCTAGTTCACTCTGATCAGGGACAGCTTATACCTTTAGATCACAGAGACATATCATGGCAGATTCAGGGGATCTGTCAACAGGTGACAGGGAACCTACAGGCTGCTCTATATATACTCATACCAACAATCTCTCAGACAAGAAACGGACCACAAAACACACACAGCTACAGAAATGAGAAGAAACAAGATTTGTAGTTGAAATTACTCATTAAGACATTGTTGTTTATCTGAATTAAATTAAATTTATCGTCTTTATTTATTCCTCATTTCAATTTGATTTCTTTTTGCATTAAATGGAGGCACATGGACCATCCTATTCAAATGAAACCTTTGTTCTTTAATTTTTTTTTATAAAATGAATTTTCCATTCTTTATTCTCGAGCACACGCTTGCCATACATTATCTAAATCCTCATTACATGGAAATGATTCAAGCATTTTTAGAGAAAGAGATATGTCTTTAAATTCTACCTGTATATATAATTTTTTATCCCTTATTGTAGGGCATTATGTACTTTCCCCTCAGAACAGTGACTTGAATATGATCAGCACTACCAGGGATGCTAAAACATTTATATAATGATTATCCGCTGTTTTTTTTATAAATATCAAACCTTGATCATACAGAGTTTGACCCCTATCTGCAGCTCAGAACAAGATGTGTTTGTGAAATACTATGCGCCCGGCGGCAACAAAGTTCGAAAAAGCTAATTTTAGCATATATGTCACGGTCAAGGTCACAAGGTCATTCATTTGGTGATTTCTGTCAACAAAGAGTTCTCAAGGTAAAAAAGCAGACACTTGTCAAGTTTCAATCTGAACATGCTATATAACATAGTAATATGCGTAATTGTGACTTAATTATTATATATTGCAAGATTATTTAAACTTTTTTCTTGCATAAATATTCCCATTTGAAATTTTGAACCCCTACTGTGACCTGGCACTAAACCCGTTATGCTCATGATTTAAACGAAGAATCTGCACTACCTGAGCATGATTGCAAATTGATGTGACCAGTCATCATTCCACTAATAGTCTACTTTTATACATTCCCATATAAGATTATTGTCGTCCCTCCCTATCTCCTTATGTCCATGACTTGAATAACTTTAATCTACAGTCGGCTGTCAGAAAGCTTTCATATATCTTACCTTTTCTGGTCCTGTGGTCCTTGAATGATATTTTTTTTATTAGTTATTCATCCTTTTTACTTATTATTAAGTTATCCTTTTATCAAAGTAATTGACTTTTTATTTTAATTATTTATGACCCCCTTTACCAGAGGATGCTGTCTTGTGAGTTAGGTTGAAACTGGTCCGATGATTCTTAGGAAGAAGTAGAAGATTTAAGTTAAGAGATGGACAGAAAAACAGTTTATCTGAAAATTTTACTTGAACCTTTGCTACAGGTTAGCTAAAAAGTAAAATGAAGGATAAATTCAAATGAAAATAGAATTTAGTTCACTGTACATCACCTATGTAAGATGTTGTGACAATATATAGGTACATAATATCAATTTAATTGATAAAATCAAATTAGCATTGATGTGTGATGAGACTAAGTCAGATATGATTGATTGATTGCTTGTATACTGTTTAACGTCCCTCTCTAGAATATTTCACCGATATGGAGACGTCACCATTGCCGGTGAAGGGCTGCAAAATTAGGCCTACGCTCGGCACTTACGGTCTTTGAGCAGGGAGGGATCTTTATCGTGCCACACCTGCTGTGACACGGGGCCTCGGTTTATACGGTCTCATCCGAAGGACCGCCCCATTTAGTCGCGTTTTACGACAAGCATGGGGGTACTGAGGACCTATTCTAACCCAGATCCCCACGGGG